CTTTTCACTGTTGCACTGTGGTGAGGGAACAGCTGTATGTGTTACTAAGCTGTATGTGTTGATTTTATCAGACGATGCCGCGATTATAAGTGAGAGTGACTCCTGGTTAAGTATTAAAAGGGGTCGTGTTTAGTCACTATTTATTTAGTGTGGTATTTTTTGACAATATTCACTCATCATGACAGTAAAATAGGGCATTCTAAGTCAATATACTGCAGTATTTCCTCTCTCAATCAGTAGAAAATATGGTTAACACCCGGTCATGCATGAAAAAAAAAATACCTTCATGTACCGTGAAACCGGTATAATTTTGAAAAATACCGTGATATCAATTTTTGGTCATACCGCCCAGCACTAGAAGTGGGCATATTGGATGTTGTGAGGAAAGTCATAGTGAATGAGCAATTAAGTAAGAATTACTTTACTTAATTCTACTTTCTAAAAAATGTGTACCTGCATTTAGAGCCAAAGGTTTTACTAGCTGAACCCTGTACATGCAACAAGGCTTTTTCTTACCCAGGGGCCACTGATATCCCATGTGTTTAGTGTTTATCTTGTGTGTAGATCAGAAAGATGGTGGAAAAGGGTGAGAGAGGAAGATCATTATGCAGACACGTGCACATCCATGCACTTGAAAGGATCGTTTCAGGATTTCTGCTTGTTTTACACTTTAAAAGAGAATTCTGTCAGCCAGTGAATCTTTTCAGCCCCTTCAGCAATCAGCAGCACACACACACACACACACACACACACACACACACACATGCAGGAAGGTGTTTGAAGCTTGCCTTGAGGATTTGAGTATTCATAAGAAACATCACATTGATTTTGTGTGCTGTGCCTTGATAAATAGAGCGTGTGAAGTAGGGCAGTCAGAACGATATTAAATATATATATAAAATATAAATAGGAAGATCAAATATCTGTATCAGATGTTTTTTTTTTCAGCCATCTGGTTATTTGTTCTTGCTACCATCCAACTATTTATATAAGAATCAGTTTAGCAATCAGTATTCGGGCCATTTTTTGCCTACTTTTTTATTTATTTTTTAAAGAAATTAATAGTTTCCAAAAACATTAGTTTCCATCCATTTTAAATAAATGTTTTTCTTTTCAATTTTCTGTTCATCAAAGAATCCTGAAAAAAATGTTATGGTTTTCACAAAAATATTAGGCAGCAAAATTTTCAACATTGATGATAATTTAAAAAAAATGTTTCGTGAGCAGCAAATCAACATATTAGAATGATTACAGAAGGATAATGTGAATTCAGCATTGCTATTACAGGAATAAATTAAATTTTTAAATATATTAAAATTGAAAACAGCTATTCTAAATTCAAATAATATTTCACAATATTATACATGATTTGTAATGCAGACTTGGTGAGCATAAAGACTTCTTTCAAAAACTTACTGACTAAAAACTTTTGAACGGTAGTGTGTTCTATAATCAGGGTAGTTGTGCATAATATAAACCTGTGGTCTCTGAATGCTCAGTGCTGACGCCAGTAGAAGTAAGCTCTTGTTTTGAGTGAGTGAATGAAGGGGGATTAAATCTGCTTCTCAGAAAGATCTGCTGATTGCGTGTAAGAGTGTTTGGGTTCTCATTCGATTGTCAAATTGCTGATTATTTATGACAGTTACACAAGCAAGTACTTAGAGAAATGTACAATACACATACACACATGTAAAGATACAAAGCTTTTGTCTTTGTCTTGCGTTTTTAACACTTGGTCAGTTCCAAAGCACTTTCAGTTTCAACAGATCTGGTTGGTTTAGCTCCAATTCTATAATGCTGATGCTCGAAAGTTAAAACAAAAGAAAATTGCGTCAAAGAACCCTGTTTAAAACCAAGCTCAGCAGCTTATATCAGCATCACCGCTCACCTCCACCTGCAAAAACACATTGTCACACCTAAAGGTGTCTGTGCAGCAGTCCTGTGTGGAGAAACTGCCTCAGTTCAACGCACCTGGTGTTCTTTGATCAAGAAACCTGTGCAAAAAAACATAATCTAAAAGTAGAATGTTATGAACTACGTTTTTACACTTTCCAAAAATGGGTAGAAATGGTTGCTCCATCATTTATCAGGAAAACCATAAATCCAATCGCATATCTACATTCTGAATGATTTAATACTTATAGTACTGTTTAGAAGCTTAGGGTCTGTTAAAAGTCTCTTACCAAGACATTTATTTGATCAAAAATACAGAAAAACCAGTAATATTGTGAAATATTATTACCATTTAAAACAACACTTCTCTATTTTAATATCTTTTAAAATGTCATTTATTCCTGTGATGCAAAGCTGAATTTCCAGCAGTCTTCAGTGTCACATGATCCTTTAGAAATCATTTGAATTGATCATTTGAATATGTGAATTGATATGCTGTCATTGCTTCATATATCGTTTTATTTGTGGCCCACTGTGGCGTAATGGGTGTGTAGTGCTTGTTTTATGTGTGCTGCTGTTAGCACTCAGTGGCTCTAAAGAGCGACCGCTCTCTGTGTTCTTATATTCTGCTCTTTAGGGACATTGTTACAGGAACTAAATCAGCAAACTCACCTTAATTGCATCCTGAAACACACACAAATGCACACATTGAGTCACATTTGTAGGAAGATATATTCAAATTTAATTATAAATACATATTTAAAAAAAAAAAAAAATTGTCATTGGAGTCTTAAAATGATTATAATTTAATTGTAAATAGTTCAAATTATTTAACAAATGCTGCAAATGCATCAACTTTCCACAAACATGCTGGTTTACACAAGCTAAATAAAATAAAAAAAGCTAAGGGTTTACCTTAAGGAAAGGTGTGTTAAGGACAGGGTAAAGGCAGTGTAATAGTCTTGATATATTCTTTGTCTCTCTCTCTCTCTCTCTCTCTCTCTCTCTCTCACCAGGTAAACGAGAATCCTTTAGTTTAGTCCCTACTGTTTAAATTGGAGATGTAAGGGCCACTAAAAAAGGCACGGATTAGGATCTCTGTACACGCTAATCCCAGAAAGACGACTGTAGAGTGAGTCAGAAGCACCAAAGATACACACCGAGGTGAACAAATGAGAGGGAGTGGCTGTTTTCCATGTGGGACCCCATTTCTGAATGAGCCACCAGGCAAAGATGTTAAATGAGAGGAAGCACCGTACAAGAAGCCAGGGCCACTGAGAGTAACGTGGAGCCTTGTTATAGCAGCCAGGCAACAATCACAGCACTCATCGTTCTCAACGCTGATCCGCGGTCTATTTTTATCACTGAGACAACGCACCAATTAATTCGGGCATATCTGATGATGTTCAGGGAGATGCAGCACTGAGGGGAAGGAACAGCACTGTGAAGCAGACGACCCTAAACATCTACTCCTTTATACTTTGATATGTGTATAAGCTTGGGTTGAGATGTGGCGATAATGAGCTAATTTTGGAAATTGACGCAGACGTACAGGACAACATGTGAAGGTGAGAAACGACTGCATTATTTGCTTTTTTAATGAAAAACGGTCCCCATGTTGTGTGTTTATTTTATTCAAGTGTGTTGATAAAATAACTATTTATTACTAACAATATTTATAAATATAAATTATATTGTAAAATATTTTATTAATAAATATTTGTTTGTTTGTGTGTAGAGTTATTTATTTATTTATTATTTATTTAATTAATTATGAATAAATATATGTGTGTGTGTGTGCGTGTGTATTACAAATATCAAAAATAATATTTAGAGTTTTAGTTAATTATTGTATATAATAATTGTATTTATATTTGTATACACTTAATTATGAATAAATATGTGTGTGTATATATATATATATATATATTACAAATATCAAAAATACAATTTTACTGAATAAATTATTGTAAAAACATAATTAGAAAATTTAATATAAAATAATTACTACAATTTTAAGAAGTTAAAATATTAAAATTATAATTATTATTCATAATGTTATTTATTTATTTGCTCCTTGATAAATAATGGATTTGTTTATAGGCAGAGATTTAAAAAAAAAAGTGTATTAAAAAAAAGGAGGTTCTCTAATTGTGTATCATTTCATATCTTCAGGTGGTGCCTTAGTTCCAGGTCTCCTGCCATGAGCTAAGCCCCCCAGTGGCCTGTGGCAGGATGACTGCTGTGTGCCCGGCTGGGGGGGGCTCCGTCGGGGTCTCAGAAGTGGCCACGGGTCCCCAGCGTTATGCCCGATGGAGCCGACAAGACAGCTCCGACATCTGTACGGATGACGAGGGGACCCAGCCGCGCCGCCTCACCCCACTGGAGAAGCTCAATCTGGACATGTGCCAAGATGAGAAGATGGTGAGAGAGCTCACCGTGGGCCGCCGCATCGGCTTCTACAAGATACGTGGCGAGATCGGCTGTGGAAACTTTTCCCATGTCAAGCTGGGCATCCACGCTCTGACGAAAGGTACATGTCCGTTAAAAGACTCTGAACTGAATTCTGAGTAATTGGTACATATTCTTTGACTTTCTTGAGAGGTTTTCCTCACAAGGAGGCTGCAGTATTGATAGATTTATTTTAGAGCAGGTCACTGACACTGTAGAATTTTGTGATCCGGGGATATTCCTATAGTTCACTGACACCCTGTAAAGTGTCTGGAAATGCACATTTAGAGGCTTGTTTTGTAGTTGCATTGACCTTGAATAAGAATATCAAAAATAAAGTAATATTGTGAAATATTCTTGCCATTTTAAAACAGTTTAATATATTTATTAGCTTTAAAGCATAATATATTTTAAAATGTAATTTATTCCTGTGATGGCAAAGCTACATTTTTAAATTGTCACTTTTCATTATTTTTATGAAATAAAATAAAAAAAACTAAAGATTGACCCCAAACTTTTGAACAGTGTTGTAAACATAGTTTTATTAGGCTATGTTGAATCAGATATAAGTCTATTTGAATATAAAATGATAAAGTAAATGCTTAAATTCTAAAGTAGTTCATTTTTTGTACAATTAATGTTATAATTAATAATTATTATTAATTTACTTTCACTAAACATATTGAAAATTGTACAAAATTGTATATATTACAGCTCACCGATTTAAAAGGCATTTGGTCCAAAACAGGTAGTTATAGTTTATATAAAATATTAATATAAAATGTGTGTTTCAAATAACATTTTCCTTCCGAACTTATTGCTATGATACATTCCAGAGTGCTGTTATATGAAGTTTTAACCCATGTTTTAAAAAATAAAAAAGCCATTATGTATTATTAATACATACTTCTCACTAAATAAGGGTTAAAACTTCATATAACAGCACTCTGAAATGTATCATAGCTATAAGTTTGGAGAGGAAAATGTTATTTGAAACACAAATTTATTATTATTATTATTTTCCTTTTTCTTTTTTTTTTTTTGGCTACATGCGTATGCTTTAGGGCTGTCAAAATGGCTGAAAAACTAAATTCAAATTTTGTGCTTAAATATGATCAAAATTCGAATTATATTCTAATTTATAATGCATAATTTCAGTTAGGGTAAAGAAATGCTTTTGGCTTCTTTCCTGACCCAAAGGCTGCTGTCCCGGGAGATATCAAGCATGGAAAAGCTGCACCATCCAAATATCATCCGTCTGTATGAGGTGGTGGAGACGCTGACCCGTCTGCACCTGGTCATGGAGTACGCAAGTGGAGGAGAGCTCTACACGAAGATCAGCACAGAGGGGAAGCTCTCCGACATCGACAGCAAGATTGTCTTCTCTCAGGTTCTCTCAGCTGTGAAGCATATGGTGAGATGAACATGATGCAAATGAATAGAAGGGAAATCTGTTATAATAGTGGGTTGCATGTTTACAGGGTGCAAACATATTCTCATTATGATTCCTCTGTTTTCCTGACCTTTAAAATTGGGCAGGTTTAAGCCATTTCATGCCAGTTTACTTTGTCAGTGACACAACACCCATTTCTTGTCAGAATTGATTCAGAAATACAACAGTACAATGAAAATGCAGTTCATTCACATGATCTATGATCATTTCTGAATTTAAATACATCTGTATGTATTCATCTTATAGAATATATAAGATATTATATATAAATAAATTTTCATCTTATTTGATATATATATATTTGCGCGTATGTTCCTGTGGCTCAGTGGTAGAGCATTGCGTTAGCAGCGCAAAAGTTGTGGGTTCAATTCCCAGGGAACACACATACTGATAAAAAAATGTATAGCCTGAATGCACTGTAAGTCGCTTTGGATAAAAGCGTCTGCTAAATGCATAAATGAAAAAAAAAATATATATATATATATTTTTTTTAATGTATTTAATATTATAGTTGGTAATTATTAATTGTTTACTTTTTAAAATGTTGCATCAATAAATAATAATATTTAATAAATATGTTGAGAGTTGTGAAAACTATATTTGAAGTCAAATATTTAGTATGTAAAGTTTTATTAGGATATATTGAATTTAATTAAATTATCTTAAAATATTAAATTGCAGAATTTATGAAGAAGTATTAAATATTTTTAATATCATTAATATTATAATTAATAATTATTATTTGTTTGTTTATTAGTTATTTGTTTGCTATTTTGAGTGTTGTAACATGACTAAAAATGAGAAGAAAACATAAGTAAAAATAAATCTGCATTTTTAGAAGACTGCTACATTTGATGTAAAACAATGGTGTACCTTATATATAAATGAAATAATGACAATAATGATATTTTTTGGGAAGTATACTGTAGTAAAGTAAAAATTGCTGATACAACTGTCATGATATTATTACGAAGAAGCCTCTAAAATGCAATTCTTACACAGAAAACTTTATTAAATAATTTGGCATTTTAAAAAGATAAATTATTATTAAAATATTTTTTTAACACACACACTCACATATAAGATTTATATTTATTTATATATATATATAGCATCACCGCAGACCACATTCGCAACAACCAAGGCAAAGACTGCAGGAGCTCCATCACTGGAGTCTATCGAATCCTCTTACACCGCGCACATAAACGACAAGCGGTTGAGAGCATGCCAGTAGTTACTCAGATAGTGAATGGAACTGATGCTAAAAAGGACCGTCTGAAGACATACAGGAGCCTTAGGCATACGTCTAAACTCTGCATCATTCTGTGATGCTCAGAAAACATATAAATAATAATGGACAGCTCACAGGAGCTATAGTTCAGCTAGTTATATTTGATATACCTCTTTTGTTATCTTTTTTCAATTGAAAATGAGATCAGTGAATGCCTCTAATAAAGTAGTCTATATGAATGAATGGAAAGTATGAACGTTTGCAAGTGAGTGAGTGCAAGACATTTGTAATGTCATGGATGTCATGTCATAAATGTATTCAATAAATGTAATAAAGTGCTTTGAACTGCATTGTTTCAAACATTCCCTTTACAATATGCCTCTAATATATATATATATATATATATATATATATGTATGTATGTATATATATATATAATTTATCGTAATTAAGTATCGTAAGTTTTCTAGGATTTTTCGATTTAAACTTGCAATAACATTTTCACAGAGTCTTCCTCATAAATGGCGAATTCGAGACGTGAAATTTTACACTACAGCTCCCAGGAAGCCTTTCGCAGAAGACCGACGCACCCGTACGTGATGACGCACTTTTTGCCTCGTTGGAAGGTGATTTCATCAAGGAACAGGACAAAGAGAAGGCACTTCCTATTTGTTGTACATGTCTACGTATCTTATTTCGGTTCAAGATCATCAGAGGTAAGGGTTTATTTAAAGCATTTTAGATGCATCTGTGAGGTCGACTTTGCTTTCCTCAGAAAAATTCACAATTCTTCACAATACAGTTATTGTAGAGCTGTCAAATGTCAGACCTGTCACATGCTTTACCAAATACTTTATTTACTTCATATAAAATATTCAATTTATCATAATTCAGTTGTTCTGTTGTATTAGATTTTGTTCTGTAACGTTATTTATTAATAGCGTTGTTATCGGCGTTATTATTGTTATCAATAAATCTGTAAATTCTGTGTTGAATACGTAGCCAATCGGATCACATAACTAAATCCGATTCAAATTTTACCTGTATCATATGTGCACTAGTAACATTATTATCTGCACTGAGCTATATCGTGTTACAGTAGTATTTCCTGCAGGGTTTAATGAGTTTTAAAACTATTTGTCACGCACAGTTTAACCATTTTATGTCTGCGGTTCTGACTTATACGCTGGACAGTTAATGCCGTGAAGTTGTTAGTTGTCATTTGTGTTGTGTTTAAAACTGAAATGCAGTCACGTGATGACTGGGCGGGGTCTGAACTTGATCGAGCTGTCAGTGCGCAGTGTCACTGCGGATCTGCCCCGTTTCATATCCTCTCTTTTTTATTTCTACTTCTCTAAATCAGTGTCAGATGTCAGAAGTAAGCGAGGATATGGAGAATACAGACCTGCTTGGTCTAATCTTCCCAGATGAAGACCCAGGATCCGGAGATCTGTTCCTCACAGAGGGGAATAACTTGCTGGAGGATTTGCTTTCAGAGCAAGATGTATGTAACCTTCACGTCCAGTGATCTAAATCTAAAAATCGAATTTCATGTTTTTTGTGACGTAGAAGCTATAATATAGTCTGATATGAATATGATAAGAAAATCTATAAAAATGAAATACAACGGCACCTTTTATAGTATTATGCAATATAGAGATTAGATACAAATGCTTTTATCTTGTCAAATGCTGCATGGAGTGTGTTTATGGAATATTAATGTATTCTATATTTTATATAATATGTAAGATTAAAAAAATAGATGACAGATAGAATAACTAATGATTTGATTATTGCAGATTATATACATTTAACAATTTTAAACATTTTATATAATAATAATGTAGTTATGTACATTTATATAATAATAATTATTGTTGTGCATGATAGATAGATAGATAGATAGATAGATAGATATTATATACATTTGTTAACAATTAAAAACAATTTTTATATAATAATAATTATGTAGTAATGTAAGTATTTATAATAATTAGTATTGTGCATGATTGATGATGATGATAGATAGATAATGTAATGTAATGTAGGTAGTTATGTAAATTTATATAATAATATAATAACAATTATATGCATTTGTTTTATATATTATTATTATTATTAGCGTGCATGATAGATAGACAGACAGACATACTTTATTGTTGCAGATTAAATACATTTATTGTTAACAATTATATAAATGTATTTTGTATATTATTAACTAAATAGAAATCATTATTGTACATTATGTAGATTAAACAGACAGACAGACTTTATTGTTGCAGATGCTGAGTGGAATGGATACAGAGGACTTTCTCAGCAGTCTTCTGGGTGAGGAAGAGGACGGCCTGACTATCAACTGTTTGTCTCAGTCTCCTCATGGCAGCGACAGCGGCATCTCTGAGGACACCACCCCTCCACACGATAGCAGCGAGACAGACACCGTCCCCAGTCCACGCATCGAGCCTCTGCTTTACTCCGAGTGTATGACGGAGAGCTACGAGGCCCAGGTGGTGCAGACAGACCACTGCTACACCCTCCCACAGGACACAGACGCCCTGCTGAGCGTCCGATCAGAGAACCCTGAGTCTGATGTCTTCATAGATGTCGGTAAGGTCTTGTTGTGGTGTGTAGAGACATATGAATTATTCTTGTTTTGGTTTTTGTTCAAATGGCTTATTTAAGTGTCCCATCTTAAGATTGAGTTTCTTCCTGTCAGATGATTTGGATATGGATATGGATGATGGCTTCTCCCCAGAGCTGCCCTGCTCACTCACGATTGAAGACTCCACACAAAGCAGCAAACCAGACAACCAGGTACATTTCAAAGGATTTTAAGAAAACAGCAGATTGTTACCATGACAACTCGGATATAATGTGCATATTTTGTCTCCAGTTCCAGTTCAAAGAGATTGTTTTGACTGATGAGGAGAGGAGACTTCTGGCGAAAGAAGGTGCAACCATTCCAGCTCATATGCCTCTTACAAAGGTAAGAGAAGTGGTTTCTGAATTATGATGGCTTCATATTGAAGCCATGCAACAAATTTTGAAACGTAACATGATAGTGTTAGCAAAAATGCTGTGTGTCTTTAGGCAGAGGAACGGACCCTGAAGAGGGTGAGGAGAAAGATCCGGAATAAGCAGTCTGCTCAGGAGAGTCGCAAGAAGAAGAAAGTTTATGTTGATGGCCTAGAGAACAGGTTAGTGTAGAGAGAAAAACTCTTCATAAATGTCTTCACTCTCACTTTTGTTCAATTTAATGCTGAATAAAAGTATTAATTTCCTTTTAAAAAATCATACTGACCCCAAACTTTTGAACAATAGTGTAAATTGGAATATTTTTGTAAATTACTTTGTTTTAAGTAATTGAAATAATATTGTGCATGACCATAGGGTTGCGATCTGCACTGCTCACAATCAGGAATTACAGAAGAAAGTTGAGATGCTGCAGAAACAAAACATGTAAGCCTTCATCGTGTGTTTTTTAGTGAAGATTATAATTACACGTAATTGCTACTAACAACAATTGTTGGTTTTCTAAGGTCCCTTATTGAACAGCTGAGAAAACTGCAGGCTATGGTGAAAATGTCCACGATAAAAACCACCACGACTAGCACTTGTATTATGGTAAGTATTTTGATTATATAGAATTGTAATCTATCAGTGGGGTTGTACTTCTGTTGAGTTGGTTTTATTTGAACACATATGTATTGATCATAAATGTAATATGATGCATGAGTGTAATCTTTCACCAGTACGTAATGTGAACTTTCTGTCTTACATAAATACAATGGCAGCGTGACGTGTTTCCTGACCTTTTCTGTTGTCACTTTTTCAGGTGTTCCTGCTTTCTTTCTGTCTGATCATTTTCCCCTCAGTCAATCCTTTTGGCAGCAGCAATCAGAAAGATCTGTATACGTCATCTACAGGTGAGCACAATGTTTGTCATTGTTTCCATAGGGTGCTGAGGAATGTTGTTCTGCTTGTTTTCTGCCATGTTTTGTTGTACTGTATTGTTCTACTTCTACAATAATGCAGTTTCAGTAATCAATACCAGTGAAATTTCACAATTAATTCTTGATCCTAATTTAATATAGATTACTAATATGCTAATAATATGTTAATATCAATAACTAATATGCCAATAAACACACTTCCTCATTTAAAAATGTAAGTTGCATTCAAATTAGTAGCATGTGTGCTCTAAATATTTCTCAAATAAACACCGTTTAAAGTTATATATAAATAGTACAATAGTATATAAAATAGTATATAGTAAATAGTATAGTAAAAAGATACAAGCTTCATGTTTTTTATATATCTAGGAGCAACAGTAGCATTTTAGTGTCATTGATATACTATTATGTATCTTGTTAATATTTTAAAATAGATTTTTATTTTTATATTTTGTTTGTATGTTCAGTTTAGTCAGCGCTTTAGCAATTTGGTTGTGTGTTTTTGTCATTTTTATTAGTATGTTTTTAAATATGTCTTTATAGTTTTTATTTATTCGTTTTAGTTATTTTATTACTTCAAGTTAAACTAAACCAAAAGTACCAATTTTTTATGTTTTTACTTTTCTTTTTGGTTAACTACAATATGCCTGGAGCAAAGTAAAGTTTAAAAAAAATCGAAAAGTAAAACAAGCTACTTAAATTATTGTATTACAAAAAGGATCAAAACAATTGTGTTAAGAGTTTTTTTACCCATCAGTTTTCTACCTAAGCACTGGTGCTTTATGCATAATTAAAAAACATGTTTTTTCTTCTGCCTTCCAGGAATGTCTCGAGCCCTGCGGTCTTATCCAGCTATCCTGAAAGATGACATTATATCCACGTCTGCTAAAGAAGTGCCAGAGCAGGATGTCCTCCTCATGGCCACTGTAGAGAATAACCAGGTGCTGCTGTCCGGCGCTCAGAACCACACACCTGACTACCAGCGGGTCGAGCAGTCTGACTCTGAGTCTGGGGTCAACAGCAACTCCTCCGCTGACTTCCCCAGTCCTGCCCAGTCAGATCTCAAAGCGGACGCATCTCTCTCAGAGTCCCACAGAAACTCAGCTGCGTCTCCGGTGATCTACGACGGCCAGAGCAAAACCAAGGAGAGCTGGATGGAGCAGAAACCCACGACAGTTATAATACAACAGCACCGATCTGATGAAATGTAGGAGAGCATCTAAAACAAAACTTGCTTTGTTTTAGATGAAAGATCAGTATAGCCATTTTCTCTTCATTGTAGCATCCCAGCCTGACCCCTTTTTGCTTAATTTGTATTTTGTACATGGATCTACTGTCATGCTATAATAGCACTTTTTTATACCCAGCCATTTGTTAGGACATTATTGTTCTATTCATCTGCGCACAAATTATGATTCTTTTTCAATGGAAACGTGAAGGAGTCGTGTTGTTTTGAACTCTGCATTGCGTCCACATTGAGTTTTAGTATTTTCAGGAAATGTATTCATTTGTCTGTATTACTTGAGACATTTTAGGACTTTTGGGCATCTAGTAACATTTTATTTTCCCCTTTTTAGTAAGGGAGCCACATGCTTAAAGAGATTCCACTACTGAAAAATGATCAGTCCTAGTGATATAGGAGTGTATTTAGAAAAGGGAAAAATCTATTTTTTTCTGCTTGTGCATTATTTGTGGCTTAGAACCCCTTCCGTTAAACCGCTGTAAATTTAGCTTTAAATGTATCTTTTAGAGGTAGTATAGTATTGCACATAACCACACAATAATAATACATTGTTTATGTCTATATATGTATGTACATATGAAAAAATGTCATGATCTGCTGTGTCAGAGAAGCATTTTTATGTTATTTTTTTATGTTGATATTTTGTCTTTTAAAAGACTTATTTTATTGCAGTCTTTTTTATTGATTTCTTTTAATCTTTGGTCATATGATGCACTGATGTATCTGTAAACTTGGAATGTTCATAAACTGTTTATTTCTGTCGTGATCATGTTATTATTAATTAAAAAATGATCAGTTTACTATAAAAAAATGCATTCTTGTCATTCCTCACAATGAAAATTGATACAAAAAAATGTCAATGAACAATAAAATAATCATAATTACACTAGATATGGTGCATATAATGGCACTCATTTGACCATTGGGATTCTTAGAAAGTGATCTATAAAAGTCTTACGTTGAAACTAGGTCAATCTTCTGTACATACATGTCCGAGCATGTTATCACACCCAGACATGTCCTTTTTATGCTGATAGAAAAATGCAAATCACCACAAAGTAACATAAAAACCACAATGATCCTGTCTGACTTTAATGCAAATGCACTTGCTAAAACAGATGTAAATCTGCACCAGTCTATTTGACACAACACACACGAAAAAAGATCATAACCTCAAAAAAAAAAAGCTCATTAAGGATATAAAAGTACAAAATATAATTGCTTACAATGTTAAAAGTCAAAACGCTTAAATGTATATGGCCAAGAAGACAGAGTAAATTTTAAGGGGAATTTAAATATCAGTGGACCGTTGATCAATCTTTTTCTTATTTCCTCGTTGTACCTGCAGATGGCGCCACAGCATCTCGAATCACTGTGCTATCGTTAGTTCTACACAGGTGCCTTTAGAGAACAATAAATCTATTGATATAATGCCACTTTCGGTCATCAGTTGTCCTATGTTTTACTGTGGTATCGTGTATCAATACCCTACGGGTTTAGTTTCAGATGCATACATTTGTGGAGTGTTTCAACATGAGCAAATAATCATCCCTGCTATTTGAGCTGATGAGCAAGTGCATCTTTTGTAGCTGTATGGTGTGACTCACTCAGCCACATTTACAATACTCTGCGTGAAAGGTCGCGCTATGTGCAGTGCACAGCCGCTAGATGGCGCCTAACACAGCCTACACTTTCTATAGTTCTAGATCTGCGGGTAATATCAATCATAAACCACAAATCTGTTTAAAAAAAATATTGACGCATAGTTATTACATCGTTTGGCATATTAGGAAAAACGTATTTAAAAGTTGCAGGTAAACATAAACATAGATCAAGTCATATCTACTCTACCCTGCAGTAAAAATCAGTTTAAGCCAGGTTACCTTACAATTAAAATGGTTTTCAGCTATAATTCTCAAAGCGCTTACAACCCCTCTAAAACCAGACTGGTAAACCAGTTAAGACCGACTAAATAGACTGGTCAGCAGGCTACTGCATACAGAATTACAGAACTTCCAGTCTAGACCAGTTTGAACAAGACTTGACTTTGTCTACCATCCTAACTACCCCAAAAGTGCCTATACCCCTCTACAACCAGGCTGGTAGACCAGTTAAGACCAACTAACCAGGCTGCTCAGCAGGTTACTCCATACAGAATTGCAAAGAGCTTCCAATAGCCTAGACTAGTTTGAACAAGACTTGATGTTGTAGTCCGATATGTGCAGTGATGCTGTTTCGAGATGTTCCTGAATAATTGATTAATCTCTATTTACGGGAATAACATTGCTCACCGTTTTAGATGTGGCATAAGGAGCTAAACAGGCCTGGAGTGAAGTTTTAGTTATCTGCTATTTGTATGTATGCATTCAACTGACTGACTTCTAAGAAGTTGGAACAAAAGTTTTGGCTCTTGGTCTCACTGGGACACACTTTCTGCAGGCTGCAACAAAGCCAGGGGCAGGTGGAACAAGAGGCTATTATTCCTGCTTTAGGGCCGGCCAAACAGTCATTAATAGGCACATGACAAAGACACGTAAATTAGGATGACTCCTTTACAAATGCAAAAGAGTGGCGAGTGCCTCACTTACCAGTCTTTGTGTCTGTGGGGGTGGTGGGGGTCATGTTTTGCTAACATTGTGAGGACCAAATGTCCCAAGGACAGTAACCCTGCTGGATTCATGGATGGAACATGGTAACTGGTTTGAACTGGAGCAACAACCACAAAACACTGAAGTCACCTACATTGTGAGGACCAGCCCCATGATGAAAATGTCCCAAATAAATATACTAATTATAGTCTTAATTAGACTACAATTATTTTTCTGTAAGGGTTAATTAGATTAATGAACATATAATTAAATCAGTAAATTAAAAAGTAAGGGATGCGAGTTAACCACATTTATTCCGTCTTCTTGATGATGGATTAAGTAATAAAATTAGCTCAACAACTTCACGCAGTTTGTACTCAAGAGCACGAGCCGTGCTTTGTGTTGTTGATGGAGTGATATTTGAACACCCACGTGGGCTGTTTACAGTCAAGACGCTTGCATCAGAGTAATTTGCATACACCCGTGCCGCCAGCCAATCAGAACCGGGCATGAGCGGAATGCCCGCCCACTGCCGAGAAACTCAGCTCATCTCGTATAAAACACGGCGAGCGCTTGACACGGCATCACAAACCCACCGCTCAGCGCAGAGAAAACGCACGCGAAACGCGACCTAACGTGGATTTAAACAATGACTTTTGAAGAATTTAGTGGACAAGATAACGCAGCTGCTACTGGCGATAGGTGAGTTTCTTATTCAGTTGATGTTGTTTTCGTTTATCAAGTGAGCACTACGTAAAGAATATGGACTAATGCGCCGGTTATGTTCTCCAGAATGCAGAGTGCAGGAACGGCACTAGAGGAGCTTCTGGTCTCCGCTAAGAAGCAGGACTGCCTTACCGTTGGGGTGTATGAGTCTGCACAAGTCATGAATGTGTAAGTATCTGTTTATTTATTACTAAAAGTGTTGCTATTAGTATGCATTATGTCCTTAGACACTCAGAGGGTGGCATATGAAAATGGTTTTTAATTACCTAGTCTTCCTAATAATGAATAATTGGATGCATCCTTATGCATATATGCAAGCAGCACACGTTGAACCGTTCCCTAATCAGTTTATCTCCTTTATGCAACCTCAGTGACCCAGACAGCGTGGCTTTTTGCGTCCTGGCTACGGATGAGGAGTATGAATGTGACATCGCCTTGCAGATCCACTTCACTCTCATCCAAGCCTTCTGCTTCGACAACGACATCAACATTGTTCGTGTGAATGACATTGAACGTCTTGCTGACATTGTGGGCAGCGATCAGAATGAGGAACCTAAGGACGTACACTGCATGCTTGTAACGGTGAGTTGCTCAACTCCTCTTTACTGCATCTACACCTACACTTTGTCAACGCCTACATTTGCACTACATCTGCATGTCATACTAATATCACTTCTTCTTTTTTTTCAAAGAGCCCCAGTGCTGACTCATGGAAAGATTCTGCTCTTGAGAGATTGGGCTTGTTCTGTGAGGAGAGCCGCAATGTCTACGAATGGGTGCCTACTATTACTCTGCCGGAGCGCTGATAGGAGATGGCTTTGACACGTGAATGAAACCGGAAACAAGTCGAAGACGTCCATCCTAAAGGGTACACCGGTGCAAAGCAAGAAAGCTTTGAGATATTGTCTGGATTACCCTCACAACTGGGAAGAAAAAAGTGGACTGACCCAGCGTACGGTTGGCCGTCCTGGAAAAGCTGATGTTCAGAATCTTTTTTTTGGACGAGCTTGGACAAGTCAAGTCTCCTGTGCCACTCAAGTCTGTTGTGGTGGAGACAATAGGAGAGAAAAGGACACGTGGACTGTGAGAGCACGTTTATGAGATTGACGGCGAAGAAGAGCATTGGAATTGGTGTTCTTGAGGAATGAGATGTGGATTTTAAAGATGAACTATGTTTAAGTGACATTTTAAAGATGTTTTGAGGTCTAATGGGCACTTGGGGTCTTGTTTGAAAAATATTACATGGACACTAGTGTAACTTGTCTTTTGTGATATCCTGGGGGAAAAAAAGATGGATTTTCTTATAAAGTTGTGCTTTTTGTCAAATATTCATAATGCAATGTAAAAATTGTGGTGAAGAAGCCACCATTTCTGCAATAAATGTTAAAAAATAAATACCTTACAAATGCAATTATGGTATGTTTCTTTTCAAAGTTGTCGGCTTTCAGCAATGCTGTTTTATTTTCACCCAGTTACATCAGATGACAGAGTTCAGGGCAGTTCAGTAACACAGTCTACAAGAGATCAAGAGAGGTTGCGAATGCACTAGAGAAACTGGCATCTCTCCAAGCTCTTCCTGACCTTTCACCACCCATGCACCAGCTGCTTTCTTTAAACGGCTTGCTCAACTGAAGGGCCCCCTTTGCAATGGGGGACTGACTTCTGTCATGTGTAGGTTTTGCACCATCCATTTGGAGCAGAGGCAGGGTAGAGCCAGACCCGTTAGATGACTAATTGAGCTGAACTCACCAAACACAACAGTCGAAATTGAGCTGTCTTGACAGTAAAGGTTACAATACAAGGGATGATTTTAAATATAATATGCACTTTGTATTGCATTAAATAAAATGATAAAATGTAATAATAAAAAATATACATTTTGCACAAGCT